CTTCCCCTCCCCTGTGGTTGTAAGCCGCCCTGAGTCCCCTCAGGGAAAAGGGCGGCATATAAATCCCAATAAAACCATAAAAACAAACCATAAACCATAAAAAATCTTTAAGGAGATAAAGTATAAGACAGAACCTGTGGCTAATTAAATTAGATAAATATGAATAGCAGGCAAGTTTATTTGTATTTGAAATATTCAGTAGTTTACAATATGGCTGCTATTAAGCAGCATAGTAGGATGGTAACCTTTACTCTAAACTCAAGTGTGGTGCACAGATGATGAAATAAAGTGAAAGAAACTTAAAACTTGTGTTCTCATCTTAAAATCTTTAAGGAGATAAAGTATAAGACAGAACCTATGGCTAATTAAATTAGATAAATATGAATAGCAGGCAAGTTTATTTGTATTTGACTAGATAAAATAGTTGTCCTTTATCGCCCACTCACTTAGACTGAGAATTAAAATGTTCATTGGTTTCTCTGTTTTGAGTAGCTTGTATCTGAAAAATTGTTCCTTGGGAAAGTACCCAGCTAGATTTATTTTCCTTCAGAAGGGTATTTTCATGTAAGAAGATTCTCCTAGAACTGAAATATCTTATGTGAAGCCAGATTTTTGGGGGGTGGGGGTGGGGGGGGATGACAGTCTCCTTTAATCTAAGTGTCCATCAAGAATTTCCTTGGGTCAGCTTGCACCAAGTGCTTTGGGGACTTTGATAGAATTTGAACCTCATTCTCAGCTGTTTGTTCCATACATAGATGGTTCTACTCTCTACTATGTGTGAATGTGGGAGTGAGAAGGACCAAGAGTTAGTAAAAAAAATCAGATACCCAGGACAAGTCAAGCAGAATATTGTTTTAAATGCCTTTAGATTTCTTGAAATGATGCTTGGTCACACATTCCAGATGACAATAATAATAAAATAATAATAATAATAATTTTAGATTATATTTGTCAAACACTTACTGCTTGACACTAGTTCATTTAAAAAACTACAAATTTGTGGATTTTTTTAAATCTATAGCTCCCAAATAATGTAGCTGTTTAAAATATTTTTAAAAAAACCACAATTCTTTATGAACGTATATATAATCATGCCATAACATTGCAGTTCAAATAACCATCTAGTAGTGGCCAGAAAATTCTAAAAAACAACTCTGGTTTACTTGTTGCTCTAAGTCAAATAATGGAATCAGCTTCGATCTCAGACTGAGCTCATGCTTGGATAGCTAAGACTCAATCTGCTTTGCAAATTTTGTTCAAAGTGAGAAGTACATAATGTAAATTCTTGATGAGCAGGTAGGGAAGAAGCTGCAATAGAGTGCTTATCTAGGCGTAATTAAATATGAGTTGTATTATAAATTAAGATTCAGCAGTTTGAATCACTGACTTTATATAATGTGACCTCGTGTCTAAATCAGAGATCTTTCCAATCTTACGGCTTTGTTGATCAGTGGGGGGGGGGGGAGAGGATTCTGCATAAGCAGTGGGCGCATGCACTCGCACACACAGCTCCATTTATGCAAGCGATGGGTGTGTGCACCTGCCAGTTGCATAAATGGCACTGAGCATGGAGCACACACCTGCATGTGTCAGTTCTGGGCTTCGGTCCAGGATTTGGTGATCACTAATCTAAAATATGATTGTGTAATAAAAATATTTTTTTTAATCCTGATATATTAGGCTCTGGTTGAAGCAAAATCAACTAAATGGTTGATTTATTTGGTTGTATGTATATTTTCACCAGGGATTTGATGTAACAATGTGAGAGAACCAGTTTGGTCTAGTATTAAGGCATCAGACTAGAAAACAGGAGACGACAAATTCTCTTACAGCATTTGGCATGAAAGCCAGCTGGAAGGCTTTGGGCCAGTAACTCAGTCCATGATATCCGGCTTGAGTAACAAGTCAGTTAGTCAAGTCCTGTTGCAACCAATGGATCAATACTCAGTTGATTTCACAAATGTGGACCCTGCACTTGTGGGGAAATGTTAGGGGGGAAAATGATTTAACAATATGATGTATATATTTCAGCCCTAGTACTTAGGCCAGGCTAGGAAATGTCACAGGACATGCTTTTATGGCTTGTAAGATTCTATAATAACAGAATCTTGCAAGTTTGATTGCACGGTACCTCTTTCTTCTTATACTTCACTGAATTAGGGAGGCATCTGCCTGAGGTGTTTCCAAATTTTACCTCCTTGTTCTGGACTTTAAAAAATGCTTCAGCCTTTTTTGCCTAAATCAGTGCTAGTGAACCTTTTATACATTGGGTGCCCAAACTGCACGCGTTCATGCCTAAACTGAAAAGTGTGCGAATGTGTGACTGTGCGGATATGTGCGTGCATAGGCATGCATGCATGTGCATCAGAGATCTGAAGACCAGCTGGTTGGCGGGAGGCGAGGCATCCCAATACTAGCAGTGCAGCAAGAGGTAAGATATTTTTATTTTGTGAACTTCTATTTCGTCATTTGCAGGGAAACAGAAGCTCATGAAAGAAACATCAGGGAGATCTAACCTGGGGTGCTCATGCCAACAGAGAGGGCTCTATGTGCCATCTCTGGCACCCGTGCTATAGGTTCACCATCACGGGCTTAGATAATGGTTCCTGTCTATCTCTGCCAAGGTCATGTTCCTTACTTTCTACAATATATTCTGAGGAAGCAGCTCACAATCATCAGGGCACTTTGAAATTCTATTATTCATAGGCAGTACACTAATTATATTGGGAGATAATTTGGATGAGGAAGTGAAGATGATGAATATTACAGTCTGAGTTCCTCTAATACACAAAAACTACTTTGGCCAATATTGAAATAAAGTACAGACTTATGGTAAGAAGATACCAAATGCTGATATTGCCAGTTATGGAGAAATGCAGACTATATTATTGATAGTCCTTGATTTATGATCATTCATTGAACAACCAATCGAAGCTTTGCTGATGCTGGAAAAAAGTATCTGACCGACGACTGGCCCTCACGTTTATAATTGTCATTGTCCCTATGGTCAAATAACCAAAAATGTAGGTGCTTGGCACCAACAGGAATTTATCCCAGGCAAATGCAGGGCCTAGGATCACACAATCACGACTTACAACTTTCACAGTTGTAACAACACAACAAGCAAAGTCAAAGGAGGAAGCCAGATTTGTCTAATGGCCATGGCAAACAAGGCTGTTAAAGTAGGCACAACTCACTTAAGAATCATTGCTTAATGACAGAATTTTCTATTCCAGTTGTGGTTTTAGGTCAAGGATAATCTAAATGACATGATTAATGGAGTGTTTGAACTACAGGTTTTTTTTAAGTTATCGTGGCCCAAATCCCAGTTGACACGTTGCAGGAGAAAGTGTAGTACCTACATTTAAATGCCACAGAAAACAAAATTATGAGTGCTAATAAGCATGCCACCCAAGCAAAATGAAGGTAGTGAGAAGCATGGAGCAAACCATTGATGAGGAAGACGAAGAGGAAATAATTGTGTCAGGAGCAAGTGGGTGTTTGCTAAAGCATTGCTTATCAATTGGAAAGAAGGATAGAAGAAAAACAGTTGGCTAATTGGTCTACCCAGGGATACATATCCTTAGAATATGAGTTACAAGTTGTGTTTTGAAAGGATCTCTTAAATAGCAGATACTGAGCTGGGGACCCCAGAAAGGAATTGAAATATGAGATCCTTTCAACTTGCTTCCGCTTACCAACTAAACAAGAAACTCTAGTGTCTTGGCCAAGCATTTTAAAAAGATTTTCGTTTCAAAATCTTTCCCTGGAAGTATTGAGGCTGTTGCTGAGTGTTTGGAAAATAGGGCAGCCACATTTCTCATGATCATCATTTTTAAGTATTGTAGGGCCGGCGTTGAAAGGCCCTGTTCATGATAGTGCCATTGCTGGTTGTGTCTGCCTTTATAAAGAATAGCTTCTTTTAGGGGTGTGGACTTGATTGGAGCTTTTCTTAAGCCAAC